GCCCAACCTCTGGGCCCGAGCGAGGCCGGCCGACCCGACGGGGCCGGCTCGGCGCGACGCACTTTTGAGCACGCGCGGCACTCGAGCTTTACTCTTACAGTCGCGTGCCAGTGCGGAATATGTTGCTACTCAACTTTCTTGCTAACTGATTCAAAGTCTGGTATTTTAACAATGATTTGTTTGTAAAAAGACATTAGTTTCATTTTTGATTTTGTAAGTTATTATTATGATTCCCATGGGAGAATCACAATTAAAAACCAAAAAAGTGGTATTCTGGAAAGCACTTAACTTAGAAAAAAGTAATTTCCTATCAATAAATGATTCAAAGTAGTATAAAAAGTATTGTAGTTAATGATGTTCATATTTTTTACAAGAAGTAAATGTTTACCTTAAGTTAGAAAAAATAATCATTTGATATTTGTAAGAATCATTAAATTTGTATGTGGTATTGTCTTTTTTAGTTAAATTGTAATTAAAGTATTTTGTCTTTACTAATGTCTTTTCAAATTAGAGTGTTGAAAATATATGTTTGCTGCATCATATTATAAAGGTATATTTTATAAGAAATAAATAGCTAAGAACCAATTAAATAATTAATGTTCAGATAAATTTGTTTAATATTTCCTGACATTTTTGTAATACTGTCAGTAAACACTGTAACAATTTGCTATCACTGAAGCAGGGCAGCTGTTAGTGCTGTGTTAAAAAGCATTATAATCTGAAAAAATCACATCACTTGGGTGTTTGTAGAAGGAACATTCAGGGCTGTACTTGTAAACTTTCTGTGGCTACCTACCCTTGGTGGATGTTCTGAGGCTGTAAAAGTCGAAAAGGAGCCATAAATGTCTCTAGAACTTGTACTGGGGTACACAGATGACGTCATCAGAGGCCATTGGCTCCCTTCGAGAAGGATGGCAAAGGGTTGAAATCTTCAAGGAAGAGAAAACGGGCGCAAGGTGGTAGGAGAGAAAGTTGCGTATTCAAAGGGTTGAAAAGTAAGCTCCTCCAATGGCGAGGCGGCATTGGGGAGGATTTTGAAGTTTCTCTTCCTTGCCCCACCTTCTGCACCGCGAACACGCTTTCCAATTTCCAAAGGATTTCCGAGACAGACATTCTGGTCAGTTGCTCTTAGGGAACCCTAGAGGCTGCTTCATATTGTGTTCAGTGCAGTGTAGTGTTTGTAGCAAGTTTAAAAGTGCCCTAATAACTTTTGAAGGACTATAAAACTGAGGTATTTATATTTATGAAATAATTGTAAATAATTTCAAATATAAATTATTTTAACTCTTATTTGTTACATTTAGATACTCAGAACTTACATTTGATTTTTGTAGACAATATTTGCTTCTTTGTAATATTTTAAAACTTTAATGAATTGGTACCAAAACATTTTTTTACCTATATATGTAACATTATTTTATCATGTTTTAAAATGTGTGAACTCTACAAAATGTGATTAATAATGCAGATTTTGTAGATATCTACAATTCTTTGTAAATATTGGTAATTTGTATAAATTGCAGCCTTAAAAATTAAATATGCATTGTTCGAGGACTATTGCTACTAAAAAAATTTAATGCTAGAATGGAGGCCGGGGTTTAGCAATTTTAAAGTGTAAATATGAGCCTAAAGAAATATTTAGGAAAATATTGAAGTAGTTTTACAAAAATTTTATGTTTTATAAGCGAAATAAATACGACATTTTCTATTGCCTCTGCTGTAACGACCTTTCTCATTTTGACTTTCCCCGAGCTCCCGGATACCTGCGAGGCACCCGGTTCCAGAATGGCCAGAGATCTACAGATTCCGAGCAGGAGGGTAAGTGTAAATGGCTAAGAACCACGGCGTCATCTGGTGTAATTAAAAAACCTGGTAAGTACTAAAATTTAAATGCAATACAAAAATCAGAATATCTTAGAACATGTAATTTAAGGAGGAACGCTTGATTAAGTTGAGAAAACACCTTCGCAAGTAAAGCTAAACAATGTGAATAAATTTTGTGAACATACGAAAATGTAATTAACTTCAAAGTCTGCACATGACATTATAAAGCATCAAAAAGTATCAGTATTTAAGAAATTTCAAGTAAATTGAATGTTAGTGACAAGGAGTTTCCGAATAGCATGTGTGCAGTTTTTTCTTGCTGAAGGAAGTAATTAAAAAACCATTCTTCAAAAACAAATTAGGTTTTGTTCTTCAGCTCGCTCACTGAATGGAATTTAATAGCAAAAAAGAATCTCCTTCGTCTAAGCAATTTGATCCTCAGCATACATTTATCTTTTCCGTGGATGAGTACGTTTGACTCACCTATGCGAGACCTAATACCTTCAGAGACATCTATGAGAATTTTGCAAAAGTGCAGAGGTGAAAACTGTATCTTGTTCTGTCCACAGAACGTCTATAATCCGTAATTTCTTCTAAAGAAACTAAAGTTCCAACGGTGAATTTCATAGAACAAATAGGGCATCGCTTCGACTCCCCTTTCGCGTATCGATAAGAGCATTGCGTTTACGAAACAAATGCTACGCCGCAGGTGCAGTTGCTGCGTCGGCCGCCGGGCTGGCTTGGCGCGGCGTCCAGGGGCAGGCCGGTTGCGCCGGGCAGAGCGGCGGGCGCGGGGGCGGGACGTTGGGACCGCCGCGCTGCTACGGCCCCACCGCCCCACAAACGTAGCAGCGCGGCCAGTCCCCCTCACGTCCCGCCCCCGCGCCCGCCCGCTCTGGCCATGCCCCACGGCGCCCGCACCACCTGGCCTGCCCGCTGGACGCTCGCGCCCAAGCCAGCCACGGCGGCCCGACGCAGAACTGCACACTGCCACGGTACCGTGACATATTCGTTCTCGCCTAAACACGCCCCCAATGCTTCTTATCGCCGACTACGCCGCAAAGTGGAAGTTCCGACAGCCAGACTGCTCCTCATCTTTGCTATAAATTCCGCTTCAGTTGGAACCTTTAGCTTTCTTTAGAGAGAGAGTGTATCCCCGGGATTACTAGACGTTCTGTCGAACCCGAGAGACAACACGATACAAGTTTTCACCTCTGCACTTTTTGCAATCGCTATAGATGTTCTCCTGACAAGTCTATATTATATATCACTTTGATGGCCGTGAGTCAAACGTACTCATCCAACGAGAATATAAATGATTATGTGCTGAGGATCAAATTAGCTTACGGACGCAAGGAGATTCTTTTCGCTATTAACAATTCCACCTTCATGTGAGGCGGAGGGCTGGCAAGAACAAAAAACCATTTCTAATTTGTTTTTGAAGAATGCGTTATTCTACCATTACTTCCTTCAGTTAAGAAAAAACTGCAACACAGTGCTATTCGGAAAACTTGGACTTGTCATAACATTCCAAATACTCTTGAAATTTCGTTCACACTCACTCGCGCACTCACTCTTCTGCCTCATCCTCTCTTCCACATGTCATGTGCAGACTTTGAAACCGTTAAATTACCATTTTCGTAATGTTTCACAAAAATTCGTTCAACATTGTTCTCACAAGCTTTACTTGCTCGCACGCGGTGAATTTCTTCCTCAACACTTAATCAAAAAAGCGTTTTCCTCCTCTAAACACTCCTAACACCCCATTGCTTCCTAAAAGATTTTTGCTGGATTTTTGTATTTTGCCATTTAATTTTAGTTAACCCTTACCACGGGTCTTTTCTTCTTTCCTCACTCTCTCACACGCACTCGCACGCGCTCTTCTCTCTTCTCTCTCTCTCGCGCCACTCTCTCACACTCTCCCTCCTCTTACACCCTTTCCCTTGCCTCGGCGGGAATTCCTGTAGACTCCTTTCTGGGCCCCATTCTGGGGGGAAACCGCGTGCCTCGCAGGGTTATTTCGTTCCGGGAGCTTCGGGGAAAGTCCAAATAAAAATGGGAGAAGGTCGTTTACAAGCAGCGAGGCCATAGAAATGTAGTAATTTAATTCTCCGCTCGTATAAAAACCATCATCTCTCT